CTCTTAATAGACTTTTGCTGATTAGGATTGAATGATGAGTTTTTATACTTTGATTATTGATGAGGGATGAGTTATGGGAAGAAGAGATCTTTTTTCTTCTTTTTAAGTGAAATACAAGAGAAGGTGTTAAGTTACTGAAATTGTTTATACTTGTCCTGAGGGAGCAGGGAGTCATCTTTTATATATTCTCTTTTCCTTTTTTCTTTTCTTTCTCTTTGCCCTTCTCTTTCTCTTTTCTTTACTTTTTATATTTTCTTTAGTTTGTATTAGCATTTTATCTTTATATTTGTAAACTCTAATAAAATTATTATTAAAAAAAAAAGAAAACTTTCCATTTTGTCATTTGAACTACTTGAGCTCCACAGGCCTGGGTGGGTCACAGTCCTAGCCTTGCTCATTTCTGGAGAGTGGTTTCTGTAAATGTGGCTCTTGCATACAGTTATAGGAAGGAGAAAATCTACAGGACTGTTTTCAGCTAGAGTTGATAAACCTAGGTTAACAAAATATGGAAGTTAGAAAGTACACAGTTTTTCTGTGTTTTTTCTCCCATCAACTCTTCCTTCTTAAGGGATCATCTTAAATTGAACAGAACTATGCCACCTGGTGACGTGGTATCTAGAACATCAGTAAGCTTTATTAATGAAATTCAGTTATTATTTTAGGAGGATGCAGCACAACAAAATTAATGTCAGAATAAAATAAAATAATTCAAGGAAAATTAAAATAAAATCTTGATCAAATACATAATACAATTCACCATGTGAAAGCAGATGTAAAAGTATGTCATTTTGGCAAGATAATGTTTTATTATTTTTGTAAGTTTTATTAGGACCAGGGAGATCTTGTGATGGCTTCTTTACTGAGGCTAACATCATCCTCTCTTGTTCTTGTTCTTTTTATAGCTTTTATAATTAATGTTTTTATATATTTATTTGTTTTTTTAATTAACTGTTGTATGCTACCCAAAGTCACTTCTTGTGAGATGAACAGCCATATAAATTTTATATTTATATAAATTATTTCACTTGTAATTTTTACAGCTGCTGTATAAATTGTACTTATTCATACATTCCATTGTCTACAATCACATTTTCTTCCTAATAAGTTTGTACAGAAATATAGCCTTCTTTGTTCAGACTATTAAAACATTTTAATAAAAAGCATTAGCAATAAATTATGATTATTATACAATAATTTCAATGACTGAAAATTTAATAGAAGTCAATATTCTCTATGCGTAATGTATAATTAACCTCTCTCCTAGTCCCACCACACAGTACAGTACTAGGAAGAAAATACCATTCTACTGTTCATAATTTTCTTGCTACCACTAGATGGCCTTGTTTCCATACTGCTTTTAGGAGTTTCAAATTCTCAGAGAAGTCTCTGTAATTCTTTTATTTCACATCCGTATAGATATCTGTATTAAAAAAAAGAGAGGCTACTTCTCAACACTGCAAGTACAAAGTACACTTAAACTTCACACTCTCTCAATATCCTTACACATTTTCCTCCAAATATCTCAGCAAGGAATTTTGGAGATCTTTTAAATAACAGCCATTTAAAAATGTAAAATTCCATGGAATAATTGTATCAAAAATTCTGAGAGAGGATGGATCAATAACCAAAAAACAGAAATTATTTTTATTTTTTTTAAAAAAAATCAAAAGTTTTGAAAGTGCTGCTTCATTATTGTGCTTATTTATTTTCAGTTTACAACCTCTCTCCAAGGAGAAGTTCAGAAGAACTTTGAATGGGAGGAACAGGAAAAGTCTGAAAAGGCTCCAATTCCTTGAAATTAATTACAAAACATATTCCTAAATGTATGAAAACAAAAAGAATGTTTAAAATTATTGCAGCTGTACTTAAGGTGATGGTAGGCTAATGATCACAATGCTCTCATGACACTCTATACCTACCTCACTCAATAGTATCCATTTGGGAGAACTAGAATGGATAGACAAACGAAAAGCTTGGATGTTTCCTAAAAATGGGCCAATGGCACCCTCTGCTACTCCATTTTCAAAGTTATCTATAAATAAATGAAAACATTATTTCTGGTGTATGCTGAAATTAATTTTTTTTAGCATAAGCAATAAGAGTATCCTGCCATAAAGAACCGAAAATTGTGTGCTTAAAACCAGAATAGTATTTGTAGAAATAACTGACATTCATTTTCAGCAAAAAGAATTGCAAACCAAAATTAAAAAGTAAATAACAAGGAATTATGTCACAGAAATTCAACCCCTTGAAATGCCAGAATTTCATATGCCTTGGAAAAATATGTAAAAATGCAGATACAATTAAATTGACATATTAATACCAAATGGAATTTTGGTGCATGTCTCTAACAGTGTAGTAGCAAATGTGCATAATGGACACTAATATAAAATGGGCAGCTTGCAAGAAGGCCACACTGTTTCTGCAATGCTGCCTATCACCTCAAATAGGAAAACACTCCGGTACCTCATTAGATAATAGTCATTCTGAAGAGTACAAAGTTGAGAAAGGGTGATCTAAGCATACCCTAGAACCAAGTAAGCTAAAAAGAGGAAATGCTGTTAATTAACATCAAATCTCTAATTCAGATGAAATATGTGCTAGCACTTCTGAATCAAAGAAGCCAGAAAAAAACTACTGAATATTACCACCTAATATGGAAAGTGGAAGGATTTGTATCCAAAATGGCTATTGCTAAAAGTCAATTTTATCTGCTCATGCTTTATTCTTATACTACCTCTCTATCTAAAACATAGCTTCTGGAAATGGAACCCACCTGTAAACTTATTTAACCCTTCATTAAACAGATAACACAATTCTGGGCAGATCTACTTCAAAGTAAGTCCAAATGAATTCAATGATAAGTAAATATAAAATGCAACTTTACTTTCTGAGTACTTATCTCCTGCATTACAAGTGAAAACATAAACATACCACATCTGGAGTTAACTCTAATTTATATTTTATATTTCATTTATAATGTTAATTTATATCACTACACAAGCAATATATATTTGAACATAAGTTAAACTTGAAATATACACTCTACATGGGGCTGCCCTTGAAGAGTATCCGGAAGCTTCAACTGGTGCAGAGTGCAGCTGTATGGACAGTTATGTGTGTCCCTAGGATGGCACACATTACACCTTTGTTCCGCAAGCTGCATTGGCTGCTGGTCTGCTTCCAGGTGCAATTCAAGGTGCTGGTTTTGACCTTTAAATCCCTTCTTGGCATGGGACCAGGTTACCTGAGGGTCTGCTTCTTCCTGATTACATCTAACTGTCCCATCAGGTCCAGCAGGAGGGGTGTGTTGAGGGTCCCATCTTCTAAAGAGTTCCATCTTATGGGACCCAGAAGACATGCCTTTTCTCCTACTAAGTCAGACTAGTCCATCATGCCTATGATCATCTATTCTGACCAGCAACAGCTTCCAGGACTTCAACTTGTTTTTCCCCCCAAATGATCTATCTATTGCCAGGGACAGAACCTGGAATCTTCTGCATATAAGGCACTTGTTTTATTATGATCCCTCCACAGATGGATCATAAGAAACCCAAACTGGAAGGAAGAAATGTTAACACTAGAAATTCTTTCATAAGAATTCATACAATATTTTAATAGGTAAATTCTACAGCAACTATTTTGTTTTTATTTGCACATGTCTCAGATTACCTTTAGTTTTAGTTTTCATTTCATTTTTCTCAAACAAATTCTAAGAGGAGAAAAATGATAATTTATTCAGTAGAAAATAACTTTTGGATGCAATTTGCCTCCTGCCTTCCTCCCTTGTTCACTACTATACACCAACATTTAGAAAAATAACAATCAAACTAAATCCATTTTAGATATATTGTTTACCTATCTGAAAATATCCATCCCAAGTTTTTATGATGTTAATGTTGTTTGCACTGTTTCTTACAGACTGTAAGTCAATACCCTGGAACAAACAAAAGAATAAAATTCCAACCAGTCTTTGGAAAGAAAAACAAAGTCTTCTTAATTACATTTCTGTTAAGCAAAACTTAGCTAGAGCTCAGTGAAAATTCCCCTGACTGGTCAGTGAGGATGGATGCTTATTGGCGCTTTTCTAAAAAACCCAAATCCCTCTAGAAACAAATCTTTACTATGGCTTGGCATTATTTCCTATAGGCTATTCCAGATGAGGAATCCTGCCAGGCTGCTGTTTAAGTAGTAACAAAGTAGGGGGCAGGGAGTAGTAATGAAAGGAACACTATAATTGTTTGGGTCATGTCTGGCAAGACATCCAAATGCTACCATGAACTGAAGAAAATAGAAAAGGGAAATAGTTACCTTTTATCAGAATGTTAAAGAAACTATGTCCTATTTGGAGGACAAGAACCTAATAGGCTAGGGATATTGGCTAGAAATATTAAGCAGAGATAAACATCTCTCCCTACTTTTATAGAAAAGCTTCATATTCACGTGGACAGAGACACTTACCCTACTGGGTAAAACCTCTACAGTAGCATTAAACAGTATATCTCCAGGATGCTCAGTATTTCCACTTCTAAATAAGTATCTGCAGAACAAATTACATATAAACACGAGGGAATTTATCATTAGTATTAAATTGTAGGCTTTTATGGTGAGACACGTTCATCTTATTGTTCAGAGAAGAGACTCCTAGAGCAGTTTACAACAAAAAAAATAAGTGAATTACAGAAAGTTATGGGAAGTCTTGCATGTATTGTTCCATAGGCATATTTACAGATAAAGCATTAACAAAGATTGGGACTACAATTAGACATTACCCAATAAAGGCATGTAACATTCCCTACATATGCTATTCTAATTAAAAAGAGTTTCAGATCGGATGAGAAGAGCAATAAAAGATTGGGTTGCTTGTTATCTCTCTGGCCATTTTCCCATTCAAATGACTTTTTGGAGCACGTTTTTCACTTAGAGAAAAATTAAAGTTAAGTTAGTTGAACCATTATGTTATAGACAATTTTGCATCATGTCATAATTACCTTATTATTTTCAATGGCTCCTCAAAACTGAACAAGATATAATCTCCAGCTTTAGGAGCAAAAGCCCAAAATATTTCTATTCCATTGTAAGCCTTTTCTAGAGTAAAATGCTGGAATACTTTTAGGCTTGTTTTCACTTTTGCAGGAGGGTTGACATGTTCTTTAAATAATGATGTTTTGACAAAATCTCCATCCTGTAAAATATAGATGTATATACACATGTAAAAATGCTATTTTACAAAGTTTTTGCCAAAACAAATGATGTACAAACTATAATCTTGGAATATAAAGAGAATTGGGAATCACCTGCTGAAGCTAGGGTGCGGAAGATTCAGAACTGATACAGAAATACCAATAGGTGTCCATTACTAAGCAGGATAATGAACAAAATGATCACACGTCACAACTCAACCAACAACCTTTAAACTCATGTCTTGACATCAGACTAAGTACCGTATTATTTGGGGATTTGTGCACCACTCCCCCCCCCCCCGCCTACAGACGCCTGTGACAGTACCATATTTACTGGGTAGTTATAGTCTCCCAAATAATTACTTTTCAATTTATCAAATTACAGGTTGTCCTACTGATAAGGACAGAAGAAGCTGTTGGAAACAAAGAAATGGGCAAGAGGCACAAATGACTGCAAACACTTCTGCTGAAAAATGTGGATGTCCCATTTAATTTTGTTCCTGGATCTTTTTCTTTCCAGGTGCTACTCCTTCTTCTTACCCCATCTCCAACCTTCCCTTTCTTTTTGTGTATATGACTGCATTTCTGCATGTCAGAGGAAAAATTGTTGGTTTATGCAGATAACCAAACAAATGGTTTCATAACCATTTCAAACAAATAAGCAATACAAACAAATGAACTATAACTGCATTCAGTGTACTGTAAATTCACACTGAAGGGAATGCAAATGGAAAAGTGTTATTGCATTTGTATCATGCTTCTGGGTTCTCCAGAGATATCTAGTTGACACTGTGAGAACAAAATGCTGGAGTCACTAAGCCTTTGGTCTGATCCAGTATAACTTTTCTATGTAGATTAGTAAAGAAAAAGGAAACATGAGAAATAAAAGCAAGCTAGATAGAACTGGATCTAGCGTCCAGTCTAGTGGTATTTATTGCCATTTGTTTCGTAGGCGCCAAATTAATAAGGTTGCTTAATTTGAAAAGACAAATTCTAATTCTTGAACAGTTCAGTTCCTTCCTACCAACCATTACAATTTTAAAAGGCCAACTTAAAAGCTTGTTGACTGGAGCCATGCTTAATTTTATTTTTCTGTGAAAGCTTAACCAAAATAACTATTTCCATTATTTTCATGAAGAACACAGATTTAAAGATAGAAGCAAACAAACAAACAAACAAGAAAGGTATCTTACTGTCAACTGCTGTGTCTTTCCAGTTAAAGAAGAATGAAATCCCACATGTTGAAAGAGAGATGGTTTATAACGGATGCGTAAATAAGACTTCTGGCTTTCACAGTGTTTCTGGAAAGGAGAGCATTTTGTGCCATAAATACCAGACGGTCATATTTAACTGAACTTCAGTTTGCCTGAACATTTATTACTCTCTTACATTCAGTCTTGGATGAACAAACCACCAAACGTATTAGTGGTGACACTAATAAGTAGAGTTGGCATAAAAGCAAAGAATAATCACAAGTATTCCTAATGCTCAAGTGAGTTTGAAGATTTCAGCATCTGCGAGAGAAAAGAAAAATATCTGGCAGGGATGAAAGTCTTACCAAAGATAGGAAAACTATGTGGAAGCATACTTAGAAGTCAAGGTGTTTCTAAGAATGAGTGTGGAATATATAGGTGGGACAAATGCTATCACCTTCTATTTGGAAACTTTCCATATGTTCTTACAACTTATATAGAAAGACAGAATACCTGCAACTTGTCTTTGATAACTATACAGGTTACACTGGCAATAACACCAGAGGGATCAAATAATGAAAATAATTGCGCCACACACCCTGCGAGCTTTAAAAGCAACGAGTGACTGAAGTTGCCTTCTGAGCTTTAACCACTCAGCAGACAATAGGATGCCAAATATGTTCTCTGATGGTGAGGCCAAAGTGGCAAATCTGCAGCTTAATTTTTAAACAAGCTGACAGTGATTTTCAAAAGGGCTGGTTGCTAGTGGAGCAGTAGTCAAATTCTGGCTTAGCAAGGATGGCAAGGACCCAGTAATTATGGCGGTTTGAACCAGATCATCAGTGATTTGCCATCTGCATCATTGCAACTGTGGTATTTACAAATGGAGGGGCACAGTAAAATCATCACGTCATGCCATTCGAAGTAAGCAATGGAAGGATAAACAGAGAAGAAGAATGAAAAATTGAGAAGAGATGAGGAACTGAGGTAAGGAGAGGCTAATGAGAAAAGTGCTAAAGAAATGTCACAATGCTTAAACTTTGGACGAAATGCATACCAAGTCTACTGATGTTTCAGTTTTGTGTACTAGCCATACAAACAAGAAATAATTGCAAAGAAGCATTAGCCAAGGAGAGGAGGGATAAAGATGTGAGAAATGTATTGAAGGTTTATGCCTGACTAAATAATTTTGCTGGAAAAACAAAACACATTTTTCCTGGTTAATGCTGCTCAAGCAATTTAGTAAATTATAATATTAAAAGTGAAAATGAAAATTCCATCAGAGATGAAAACTGACCTATGTTTTATACATATAAACTGTATCCCAAATTTTAGTACAATCCCAATTTTGAAGAGCAACAGGAAAGTATTTGAATCTAAATGGAGTATTAAATGCAAATATTTAGGCAAAAGTTCAGATTATACCAATTTTAAAATTAAAATATTTATACCCATTCTTTTTCTAAAGAATCTGAGCTAACAATAATTAAAAGCAATACAAATTGAATCAATAGTAACGTGAAGGTACAGAATTGCAAATAACCAATAGATTAAATGGAATTTATTAAATAGCTTGGAGGAGGAATGCAGCCTACTTTTGATCATAGCATAGGTCACATTAATTTTTTTGGTAGAATGAAGCATGCATTTTTAATTATACACTGATCTAATTGTTGACACTAACCTTTCAGGAAACTGGTTTACTTACAAATCAGCTTTGATACAAAATGGTATAGTCAATCATTTTTCCTTAAAATCATTCAATCAATCAATCTCTCTCTCTCTCTCTCTCTCTCTCTCTCTCTTTTGTATGTGTGTCTATGTGTGCATGCATGCACCTATTGTTAATAAGTACAATACTTACTTCATTTTTCTCTGGATTACAAACTTTAACCCAAATTAAGTGGTCTAGAAGCCAGTCAATTGGTTTATCTTTGTAGAACATTAAAAAAAATTCTACTATCAGTGGTAAGTCTTTGCATCGGAATAATTTTCCTGAAAATGCAATTTTTTAAGAAAGGGAGACGAGAATCATAATTTTATTTACAACACAGTAAGTTATTAACTTTATTTTCTGGGTCTATCTATTGCTAATAAATTGGATCAAGATTTAGTTACACTTAGACCCATTAATTATACTTACATCAGTCATACATAATTCAAGTTCTACTGATTTTAATAGTTAGTGATTAGAGTATGGCTAAATCTGTTCTCACTCTATTGTCTATAGAAAATACATTTTGTCTAAAGTAAAGAAAATAGTAATGACTCTAATGACTTGGGCAAACACTGAAATATTGATGTAATGAACTATTTCATGTGTTTAGGGCCTCTTATTTGTACTGATTCTGACCTCATTTCCTTGGGTTTCAAAGAATTTTTCACCTATTTTTATCTGCTAGAATATACTGAAATAGGAACAGCAGCTGTTCTTGGTTTCTGTCTCCCAGTTCCCAGCAAAGAGGCTTTGATTTTCTTACCTCATTCTCAAAACGCTTTTAGATTGTTTAGATTAGTTTATTATTCTGAGGTGGCATACGGTGATGTTGTTAAATCATTAAATCGCCACAATCAAATATTTAATATTATAATTTTGCTGCTGAAATGTAAAAAATGTATCATCCGGTTGTATCTAACTTAGACTGATCTTTGTGGATTCTTCACTTTGTTGCTGTACTTACCAATAAATCCAAGCTGAGAAAACTCAAGAACTATCCATTCTTGTGATATCTTTTGTTCAATAAACTCATTTATTATATCTAAATAGCGAGGCTTGGCCACAATATCATCTTCTAGCTGAAAAAGAGATTATTTTTACTAGCAAAATCATAGATCCTGAAACTCTTTATGGAATTTTTCCTTCCAGAAAAAATTAAACCTCCAGCAAGAAAAGGATTAGACTAAGACACTAATATAAAAACCAACCAGTTCCATGTGTCATCAACATATCACTAGAAATCTACAGTTAGAAGGGACATTATTGTATATTAAGAGATAGATCCAGAATGTACATCATCAATAAAGCTGATTTCGGGGAACCACTATAATCATGATTATGTCTAGATTCAACCAATACCCTGATAAAATACTAAGAATAATGATAAAATACTGATATACATATGAACATAGAATTTAAATACACTCTAGTAGATGAAATTAATTGCTCATGACAAGGTACAAATATGGAAATGATATGGTTAAAACCAAAGATAACTAGGAGTGAAATCATAATCCTCATGAATGATTTCCTGGCAAACAGCATAAGTAGAAACATTATTATCAACAGAGAGGATCCACCACAATTGGCAGGGCCCCAGGCATGTATATGAAAACCTCCACAAACGTATTTCTATTGGCAATATAGTGTTTCCCTTAAGTATAAAACCGGATATTCTTACACTGAGGGCATATCTGCACTTGCCATTTAAGCTATCCCTATTTGGTGCTCACGCTGGCTTGACTCTAAGCTGCTTTAAGAAAACCCTGCCCAGACTGAGATGCTTTTGGCAACAGTTTGCAAAGTATTCAGTCCAGACAATAGGCTACCATATCCTCCCACTAGAAAATTCCCACCTTTCTGCTCCAGGAAAACAATTGCCTGTCACCTGTCTTGTTGGCAGAACCTCCTGGACATATATACTTTTATATGAGTTTAAGAGTATAATATGTACATGTGTATAAAATCAATATATAAAACTGACTTTACATATATACAAAGTTAGAATGTCCAAGTGCACATACACGCAGGAAAAGCTTTGAAAACCTCCTTTCTTACCACTCTGTTGCTTTCTTTTAACATTTTCTTTACCATGAATACTGTAATAGCACAGTAGTTAAAGCATCTACCTTGTAAATATAAGGTTATTGGTTCAAAACCCAGCAGAAATGTTTTCTTTTTAATTATTTTTCTATCCTTGACTTTATTATTTCTTCCTGTGCTTTTTTAAAAAGCAAATTCAGCAGTGTATTTTTTTAATTTTTTAGTCACTGTTGGTAAAGTTTAACTCTTAGCTCCCAGGACAATTCAGGGGCTAGGAGTGAAACCCCTATCTCAGCTGTACTTCAGAAGTGGAGCAGAAAATTGTGCCCACAGGCACTTTTAGATGGTTAGTGGGGGACTAACAGAGGGTGATGTCATCCATTTCTGCTTTCCAGAAACAACTGGCTGCCTGTTCTGGCAACGGGGCAACTGGGCATGCAGATAAGCTCTGAGTCAGGGATGAGGAAAGGCGAAGCATATTTTTGTAAAAGTATGGTAGGACTTGTGAAGTTACATAGAATTAGACAGTTCATTCCCTTATTAAATTTTACTGATTAAAAAGCAAGCATGCTAAACTGCTCTACTTCTATATTTTTTTTCTAAATACAGGGCTACCAGTGGTTTCATTTTGTTCTGTATAGCAGCAGTAAGAATGGGGCAAAGGCAGCAGCTTTAGAAATGTGATGTGTGAGGAAGAGTGGGAGAAAAATTAATCTAAGGTGCCCCCTGACAGTGATGAATGGTGAAGGGATGCCCAGTAGCTGGCAGACAAATCATTTAATAGGCTGTGCCCATTTGAGGCTACTTCTTTTTGTTTGGTGTCCAGCTCCAAAGCTAGAGGGCTGCTGTTGACACTCTCTTCTATCGCAAGTTGCATTGAATACTGGTAGGCCACTGCTTTTATTACTTTTAACCTGATCAGCCCAATTACTCTTGAATAACCATAGTATTAAAAACAAAGAGTCCTGTGGCATATTAAAAGCTAAAGAAATTATTTTTATCGTTTAAGCTTTTGTGAATCACAGTCCAATGAATTGGTTAGTCTTTAAGGTTGGTGCTATAATATCCTTTGTTGGTTTTGCTGCAAAATGTGGCTACCCCTCTGAAAACAAAATAGTATTTATTCCTTTGTAATACTTTAACTTTTTTTTTTAATTGAGCATTAACTGCACAAATATAAACCCCTCTTGTGAAACAGTGTAAGTGTCAAGTCAGCTCCTGAAATGGAACATGACTCAATAAGACTCCCAGTAAATGTTCCTGACTGTTGGCTCAAGTTCTGAATCAAGATACTAAAAGCTGATGAAGTTTTTAATGTTTTCATTTCATCTCCCTTGAGTGTTGATAAGAAGCACTTTCTAGGAACTACTGGATCAGAGCTCCTCAAAAATGCTTTCAGCTTTGAAAACGCATAATTATCTCAGGATGAAGGAGGCCTAAATGGAGATGGAGAATAATTACATTTCACCCTAGGTGATGAGGGATTTGACTACTTGCACTTATGGCTCCCATGCCCTCATTACCTATTCCTTGGCAGAGTTAAAAGTCTCTCAAAGGCCCCGATGGACTCAAGAAAACATGAATGACTACATGAACTGAAAATATTGACATTATTTTCTCTAAACCACCCCCAATCTTTTATTCATTAATAATGATATTGCTAGATTGCAAAAAAAGAAAAAGGAAAAAAAAAGGAAAAAAATATAGCTTCCATGGGGAAAAAGGAAGAAGCAGATAAGAGGGTTAATTTTCTTAAATTGCCTCCTAGCACAACTAGAAGGAAAGGAAGAAGCAAATAGTTCCATTCCCCCTTCTTTCCTGTTATTCATAAGAGGATTCTCACCCATACACATATCCCATATTTAAAGAATATATAGCATGAGAACTAACTATCCTTTAATCTCTCTTCCCATGTAAAGGAAAAACAGTGATCAAACTATATACATGAATATTTATTCTTACAGAATCCACCTCTCTGTTTCCCAGTCCAGTCTGGTCATACGTTTGCCTGACTTCTACTGTATTTGTGAATGAAAGTAAATTTACTATTTTTTCAGAACTTCATAATATTTTTTTGTCTAGATGGTAGCCCATTCTCTTTTTTTCCTAACTGGTTGCACTTACTAGCTTTATTTAATTTGATTTATACCTTCCTTATCTTTGCTTTATAGAGCACAGCATTCTCTATTACTAAAATGTTTTGATCTTTGGATCACTTTTTTTGCTTTTTGGGGGGCCTATTTTCAAGGACCTTTCTGAAGTGGCAGATACCATGATTAAGGGGCCACTGCTAACTATTAAGGCCCACATGAAAGCAAGTGCCACAAGTTTTAAACAGCAGCAAGGAATGGTTCTTGCCCTCGATAATAACTGCAGCTTTGGGAGGTTGTATGAATATGGAAATCAAGCAAAGCATTTAATATAAACATCTTTCTCATACATTTTAATACAAGTGGTCCTTGCTTAACAACCACTTTTTCAGCGGCCGTTCAAATTTACAATGGTGCTGAATGAGTGGTACTTACGACCAGTCCTCATACTTATGATGGTCGCAGCATCTCTGCGGTCATGTGATTGTGATCTGGGCATCTGGTAACTGACTCGCAATTATGACATTGCAGCATCCTGCAATCATGTGATCACCATTTGCGGCTTTCACTGCCAGCTTCTGACAAGCAAAGTCAATGAGAAAGCCAGCAGGAGGTCGCAAATGATGACCACGTGACATCGCGCTTAACAACGTTGTGGGATTCGCATAACAACTGCAACTGGAAGTGCTGGAACTGCCATCACTAAGCAGCACAGTCACATGATGTTGTGCTTTACTGCCAAGTCACTTAGCGACAGAAATTCCAGTCCCAATTACCAATGTTAAGTGAGGACTACCTGTAATGCATTCAACAATGTCCACAGCATACCATAGTGGAACCAAAATGTTGTGGTGGGACAAAATCACAAGAATGCAATGTAAGTTGTACCATTTGTGTAATTTTATCATACAGATGTCATTATTTTTTGTGTTAGATTTATATCCCAACTTTCTTCCAAGAACTCATAGTGATTACGTGAGGTTGCGCTTCATCTTATCCCTACCACAGCAGTGCAATGAGGTAGACTGGGTTGAGAGAAACTGATTAGACAAAAGCCACTCAGCGAGTTTCTATGGCTCGTGATAGACTTGCATTTGAGTTTTTCTTGATCACCGTCCAATGCCTTAATCACTACCCTAGAAAAACTAGGTAGATGTACCTGTATATGAAAAGGATTGTATATAACAAAAAAAATAATAGAGTTATTATGTTTTTATAGGTGGCAAACAAAGTACATCATTCCTCCACCCACCCTTGCTCCACTCTGCAGAGGTCCATGAATATATTCTGGATAATATAGCCACTAATTTCTAGTTCTAACAACAACTGATAAGCTCAACGGTTTAAATGGCTTCTTATAATTCTAAGATTGTATGATATATTGGCATTTCCTCATGGTTCTGTTCAAATACTGCCCCAGTAATGACTGAAATGCAGAATCTGTACGAAAGACGATATGATGTGTTATTTCACACTGTGGTTAATGCTCCTGGCCTGGGAATAACTGTATCATGTAGCCTACCATTTCTTTTCCAAATTTCACAAGTGAGTGACATGATCACATGGGCTGGATTTACACACTGCATGATTTGCTTAAGTAAAATTACTGACTAATCCACAACTAGCTGAATTTATACAAAATGCTAACCTGAAAGCAATAAACCATATTATAATTTAGGACAATATGTGAATAGAAATAGCCAGACCTGCCCAAAGGAACAAGAATTACATAATAAATGACAGTGGCTTTTACACGTAGGGCATATGTACTAATGTTGGGTTGATTCTAAACTAGCTTTAAAAACTCCTCTTTGGACTTGAGATGCTTTGACAGTAAATTGAAAGGTATTCAGTCCAGGCTACCATGACTTCCTGCTGGACAATTCCCATGCTGTGGTGCCCTCCCAACTTTCTGTTTCAGGAAAGAAATTCCCAATTGCTTTCCCTTCTGTGGGCAGGACGGAATATATTTTTATATGTACATACTTTATATATCTTCGTGTGGGTACATACATACACATACATATCCATTTACATAGACATATATGCACAAAGATAAATTTCTATGTAAACATCAAAATACATATATACAGGCACAACAACTAGTTTTAAAATAATTCTTTTCTTACATTCTCCCCCCCTTCCCCTGAATAACATCTGCTGAAGATTATGTTATAGCTGATCTTCCTTACTAACATAATGGTTATAATCCTTGCCTTCCACACAGAAGGTCCCTTGTTTGAAACTTGGCAGAAATTTTACTCAGATCACTGCTTTTTCCCTGAGCTACCTACTTTTCTGCTTTTTTTTAAAATGGAAAATTATGAAATTAAAAATGATGAAAGAGTGCACTGGGATTTATTTTTAAAAATGCAGAAAAGAAGGTAGCTCAAGAAAACAAAAATAGTAATTAAAAAAAAATCCTGCCATGTTTCAAATTGGGATCATTCTGCATGTAAGGCAAGGGTTCTAACCATGATGCTACTAAGGAAGATCTGCTGTCACAGAATCTGCAGCAGGTGTTATTCAGGAAAAGCAGAGAAAATGTGGTGAGGGGACAGTCCTACCTCTGTGAAATAGCCAATCAAAGTACAGGTGTTGGCCTAGAAGAAAATAAAATGTAGCAAACCAGATAGCAGCTCTAAAGCTGACAAAAGCAAATCACTACTTTGAAAATGGAGCAGAAAAAAACTCATGCAGCTTGCATCTATGGAGGACAAATACTGTAAAGGATGGTATCATCTGTTCCTGCCCTCCAAAAATGGTCGCTGGCCCATATTGGCAATGGAACAATAGGGTAGGACAGATAATCCCATAGTAAATAATTCCAGTTACAAATACTGATAGATTTATGAATGAAAACACAAGTCAAGATAGGCCCAGCTCTAGATCAGAGATAATAAGTCCTACCACTACTCAGCAGCAGCAGTGTTCAGTGGAATCCTGGGTGGATGGATCTAGCGCCAAATAATATTTCTCATAAAGACTCAAATTGATGGTCCATTGTGGAAATTTTAAATGATGGTTAGACCAAGCTACCCAGTGGCCAAGGATTGTCATTAGCAGTAGATTTTGACTGTTGCTGAGAATACCTGAAAAGGCCAGATGCTGATGCCTTTCCCCAATCTGGTGCCCTCCAAATGCTCTAGACTCCTAAAACTATGAGACCACATGACTAGGCTAATCTAATCTATGTAGTTTATCAAACAGCTATATACTACCAAGAACCATATTCTATTGAAAAGGCAGTGATGAATCTAATCAAGCCAAGCAGCCAACAAGCTACATCTCTGTCCAGCATACTCACTAAAACTAGACTCTTATATATACAATTCCTTTACTTAAACACTCATGTGAATGATGAACATGATTCTGCAGATCTAATAACAGGCATTTCCAAGTTATTTAATTATAAAACTAGCACTAACTGAGACCTAAAGATCACAGAATCCAGGCACATAATCCTGCACAATTTAATTGGAGTAGCCAAATATACTGTCATGTAAACATACCTGTAAATAAAATGTTCCTTTTTGTTGGGCATACATCATTAAGAAACTATAATCCAAATTCTGTTTTGTTCTCCACCTAAACAAAAAAATCATGAAATTTTTAAATACAAATTTACTCTTACATTTTATTTTCTTTCTGTGTAGGTAAAGTCAAATAATTTTTTGTAGAAACCTATTCAATTTGTTTTTCTGACTAGAGTTCAGAATGAAAATTATCTTTATTATTTCTGATTAGAACAGGAATAATATAGAAAATAACCCTATTGATTCTTCTGTACTGCCAGCAGCTTTCAGTACTACCAGGAATAGTATTTTCTCCATTGGAAATTATAGGCACTATGATACATTGGTTCTGTTCCTACCTGGCTTGGACATTTCAGAAGATGGCTCAAATATCAAATATCATCATAAACATCAAATATAAAGCATAAAAACATATAAAACCAAGCTAAAACCATAATATATAAAAAACAAAAGTCAGATAAAAACATAGCAGCCATGGAACTAATATTCTACCTTCAAAAGGCCCAGCAGAAGACTACTGATTTCACCTCTTTCCAAAAGAGTAACAGAGTGGGGCCCATCCTAACCAGAGGAGGGGGTGGAGAGAAAATACCAAAGGGCTGGGACAACCACCGAGAAGGAATATTTCTATCCCCATCCCCTTAATTTTCAAAGGAGAGGGGATCAGAAGCATGCCCTCCCAGACTACTTGGAGAAGATGCCTCAAAGATAACAAGGACTTGAGCCATATGGGTCACTAGCAACACTTATAGTCATACACCTATTAGGAGTCAATGCAGCACTAGCAAAACCAGTATTATTCTGTTGAAATACCTGCTGGAGCTCCCATGTCAGCATGCTGGCTGCTCTATTTTGCACCAATTGCACCTTTCAAATAGTTTTAAGAGGTAGTCCCAAGCACAGTGCATTAGAGTAATGCAAACATGAGGTTCCTATCCAGAGCATCCTGCTGCAAAAAGATCATATCTGGTGCACCATCTTAAGCAGGGCAAGAATTGGGATTAATTTGTTAAATTATATATATGTGAATTTTCAAAATTAATATTAATTCTAAAACTGATTGTAATGGATTTCTTTTCATTAATGGCCTTCTGTTTCGAGATCTTATTTAGGTAGACTTTGAGTTCTATAGCCTGTTAGAAGTTGCTATGAAATATCTGCCTTCTCTTGGTAGCTGTTGTATTTGTTAATCAGGAACAATAAACCCATGTTTCACTATTACGTTGTATTAAAATGTTGTTATGTTATGAGCATGTTCAAAAATGGAGATGACATTTTAAGAAATAAAATAACCCTAATTTAAAAATACTTAGGAAAATGCAGTCCAAGGATCTTATCACACCATCTTTCATACCTCACTCTATCCTTTGAATCCCCAAATGTTTCCTTAAGATTGGAGAAGTCAGGGTAAAAGGATTCATGGGGAGAAATAACTTCCAGATCTCCAGAAAGAACTTCAAGTGGAAAGCTAAAGAAAGAAGAACAGTGTTTTCTTCCAGTGAATCTCTGTAACAAACTATCAATTTCCCACAGGATCAAGGACTTATTTATAGGTGTTTATGATCAGTACATATATATATTTCAATACTTTTATTTTTCTCATACTTGTACATTGTGGACATAGGTAGAAAATCATATCATGCACCATATACTAGGCTAGAGATAAGCTGCTTTTGCCACACTTGCAAAATCACAACATATCAAAAATATGCTCAATCAGGATAATTAGAAGCACCTTAATTGGCAGGTCTTCAACAGAGGACAGTGCCCATATTATATTACAATATCTATGTGTAATGTATGTCAAACCCATATATGACTGGATGGACATTCAGAGATATGAACTTTTCAGTTTTGTCAATGGATGCTGTTGAGCACATGCACAAGTAAATGAAAAGAGTGTGCATGGACAAATAACGTGTGTGGGAGAAAACAAACTAAAGCTGTATGTACCAATAGAAGAGAATATGTGTAGCTCAGGGTTGAACTGTGGAGTCCTCGGGGTTCTCTAAGCTTGGTTTTTTTCTTGCAAACATTTCGTTACCCGGCTAGGTAACATCTTCAATGCTAGAATGGAGTGGAGTTTGCTCTCTGTTTATGTACAGTGGCTTGCCCTGGCTGGGTTGGTTTTTTTTTTCTTTTTTCTTTTTCTGGTAGTTCCAAGACCAAGCTAAATCCAAAAATGCAAGGGAATTCCTGGAAGCTTGGTATTCAGATGAGGTAGCCATCAACAGGCACACAGAGATAAACAACATCTACACATTATTAAAAAGAGACAATAAAAAGGAAACAAAAGACCAGAAGATTTCCTCACCAGCAATCATCACCCAGATAAGCAGAGATTAACACCAAGATTATCATCAGACATGCAATCAAGCAGTAAATAATACCCTAATCAAGGAACTACCAGGAAAAAAAAAAACCCACCAACACTGGCAGGGCATGCAAGAGTATATAAACTCCATCCCATTTTAGCACTGAAGTTGTTACCTAGCCGGGTAACCAAGCTCAGAGAACCCCAAGGACTCCACAGTTCAACCCTGAGCTACACACATTCTCTTCTATTGGTACCAATTATAACTGTCTAAAATCAACATATTATTTAGCTTTTTGCTATTTATTTCAGATTCTTTACATTCTTAAGCTTATGATTAAAATGTTCCTTCAGGATTGAAGAAGACACACTCACCCAGCATTTTCATACTTGTCATTCTGAAGGTCTCTAATAGCTTAGAAGTAGTTAATAAGCAATTTCCAAAAATATTTAGAAAGTGAGGTTTGCGAACTTAGTGTCCCTTAAAAGTTTCCACTGCAGCTGCAAGTAAGATGGCTAATCCTGTCATCTCCCAGTGCTCAGACTTATAGAAAGCCACTGTCCTGTGGTCTCCTGATAGGGAATAGCTGTCTGGAGCACACCTAGGCAATCTCCCATCTTCTCCTTATCTGGAGAGCTTCCAAGGACCTGGTCTACTTTGTACTTTATAATTAATTCCAAAGTCTTATTGTAAAAGTTTCCTTGATCTTTGCTATGGTCGTCAGCTCCATTTTCACATAGCTGTCTTGAGTTTGCTATACCTCCCCCAGAAGCCCAATGGCTGCCTTAACTCACTTTGGATTATGGAACTATGGATACGCAGTCTCTGACATGTTACCTAAGAACAATTCGTCCTTCAGAATGGATGAAACTTCAAGGATATAGACATTACAAAGAACCTCTTGGCAGTAAGAGCTGTCAGTCAGTGGAACAAGGAGTGGCTTCTTCCCATTCACTGGAGGTTTTCAAACAGAAGCTGGATAGTCATCTATCAGGGATGGTGTACTGAATCCTGCAGTGTGCAAGACGTTGGACTTATGACCTCTTGGGCTCCTATGAT